TAATAGTCTATAGTTTCTTGTTTGTTTGTTTTTTCTCAATAAGCAAAATAAATCAATCTCTCTCTCTCTCTCTTCCTTCCTTCCTCCCTCCCTCCGTCCCTCTCACCCTCCTTTCTTCCCTCCTTCTTGTTTACCATACCTCTTTCCTCTTTCTTTCACCCTGAGAGTAATCTGAAGGGCCTCTGTAAATCATGAAGGTAAAAGTGACTTATAGTTTTCCAATTTGGGATCCTAGAATAAACAGAGTCTATCTGTTTTAGTAAAATCAAGAATGAGAGGGGCAAAAAGATAATACTAGGAAAATAGTAACAAACTCATTTAGCAGTCCCCACCTGGGGCCCTCAAGGCCTAAGGGCAAAGCATTTTGAATAGTATGACCTCAACACCAGTACCAGGAACGAAACCCAACTGTTTTAAAGCAAATAGGGAAATCCCATTCCCACTGCCACAGGGCTGTTTCAGGGATAAGAACTACAATCCAAGTCTCAGTTTTCTCCTCTCCATTTCCTATCCGTAATTCCTAATACCAGATCCAAGGTGGACCAGCTGCAGCAAAGCTCAGGATTCTCCTTCCAAGGGAAAGAATGCGTTTGCTCCTGCTAGATATAAAGAAAGAAATACAAAGGATGGATGCTGGTGCGCAGCCATCTTACAACCACACAAGAAATCACCCTGAAGAAAAAGACCTTCATGCCTTCTTCATGGAAGAGGGCCAAGCACAGGGCCAGAAAAATCGTCAGAACTCTGAACTTGCCTGATGGTCCCTCTACCTCAGGATGTGTCAAGTAACTAGACTAATAAATAACCTTTCATTGCTAAAGCCAGTATAATTTGGTTTTTCCATTAACTGCAACTGAAAGCATCCCTGTTGACGGAATGGGATAAGTAACACCTAATGCCAATTCTTGATCTGATTTTTTGAAACCTGTATAGAATTCCATTTTCTTTATCTGTATTGATAGTATACTCCTATTGATATTGATATCCCTACTGAATGTTAACTATTTCCTACAGATGACAGGTTGCTTACAAATTTTATCACAAATAATGTTCAATGAACACCCTTGTGCGTACCTTCAGACATTCATATTATTATTTGTATAGGACAGATTCCTAGATGTGAAATTACTAGGTAACAGTGTACTCCTTCTCTGCCTGCCTTCTCACCAATAAATTTTTCACAACCCTGAGAGATAAGGCAAGCCACAGAAGAAGTCTACACAGGAAAGCAAGGAAGCTGCATTATAATAAGCATTTGGTGAAGAATTTCAAACTGACAACTAAGAAGACTTATGTCACCTGCCACTGTTACGAAAACACTTTGGTCAAAGAATAAAAGCCCATGAAGGGCTTATGAGTTGACTATGAGTTACCATGTAACCATATATAACTCAATACCTAACTTTCCAATATTAGATAGAGATCAAGTTGATGGTTCTTGACTTGGGTGTTAACGGACCATTACCATCATCACCATCACCATCAATATTGTAGACATTTATATCTATATCCTATATTTCTTTACTCCTTTTACTTACCCAGAGGATCACAACCTTTAATGCACAATATTTGAGAGTGTCCCTGTTTTCTGACTAGCTCTCTTCCAATAATCTTACCTACACCTTGCTCCACTCATCTGTTCACATGAGGATATCATGTCACTACCAGTGACTGAATCCTTCCATAATCTCAGTTCCAAGGATCTCACTCTCCAATCATCATCATCTCCTATTTTTCAAGTTCATTCCCTCTAGAAACTCAACTCAAACAATCTTTTGCTCCAACTGGGACCTATACTCCAATGATTCTAGTACCTTTTCACTCTGCTCACCCTGGATAGTCTTTATTTCCTCCTTGACCAATTTTGGTTTTTTCCGCAATTACAGTTGACATTCAATATTATTTTATTAGTTTCAGGTGTTAGACATACCTTGACCTTTTTCACCCAGCCCCACTTTCTCCTCCCTTCTGGCAACAATCAATCTGTTTCTGTTTTGTTTGTTCATTTATTTTGTTCTTTAGATTCCACAGGTAAGTGAAATCATCCGGTATTTGTCTTTCTCTGTTTGACTTCACTTAGCATAATACCCTCTAGGTCCACCCATATTTTCACAAATGGTAAAATTTCATTCTTTTTATGGCCAAGTAATATTCCATTACAAATATGTACTACATCTTCTTTATCCAGTCATCTTCCCCTTGATCACTTTAAATTAAAAAGTTATAACCATTTCCTTGCATATTCCCTTCACTTCAAAATCCATCTCTGGCCCTGACTGGTTTGGCTCAGTGGATAGAGCCTCGGCCTGTGGACTGAAGGGTCCCAGGTTTGATTCTGGTCAAGGGCATGTACCTTAGTTGCGGGCACATCCCCAGTAGGGGGTGTGCAGGAGGCAGCTGATCGATGTTTCTCTCTCATCGACGTTTCTAACTCTCTGTCCCTCTCCCTTCTTCTTTGTATAAAATCAATAAAATATATTTTTTTAAAAATCCATCTCTGCCTTCATCGTTCTCTCTTGGCAAAACTCTAACCCTGATTAAAAACAAGTTCTCTGCCAACTCTGTGCCTGCAGCTATGCAGCTGAATGTAGATGAAAAACACAACCATGGTGACTGGTCTCACCTTAAATTTGTGACCACCAACCTCAAGTGGGCCCTTAGTCTTCCTAGCAATTCTACAACTTTTCACTAATCTATTTACATCCTCCCCTTCCATTTCATACCTTCTCCTCTCTACTTAAACCTATCACATCTCTTTCCCCATCCTCATTCTCAGCTTATGAGGTTGCTTCACATTTCCTTTAAGCCATCAAAAAGGAACTTACACAATTCCTACCCTGGAAAAAACAAAACAGAAACAGACTCACAGATACAGAGAACATTTAACAGTTGCCAGATGGAAGGGGGTTTGAGGGTGTTGACAGGCCTACAGAGGACATTGGCCTAGAAAATCCTGAACAATAAAGTGGCCCCAGCCTCATTTCGTGGAATAGCCAGTGGTCAGTCACCCTATCCCGCACAATAGGAGGCAGTGACTCCCGAGGGCGAGACAGCAGGCCAAGGATAAGGCCCACAGCCTCAAAGACCAGCACTAATGGGTCTAAAGGATAACGTACTCCATCTAATCAGACCAGATCCCCCAGCCTCCGCCCCTTGTGGTTTTGGCGCATAAAATTCAACCCCAAGGACAGTGGAGGCTGAGTCCTAACCGTCCCAGGTGGTGGCTCCATCCCCCGACTCCCTCTAATAAACTTCCCTCCTGTTTGCTTGCTGCATCCGCCTAATTCCTTGAGCAACTCCAATCCGACAGGTATAAGTGAAAAAGGTGAAGGTGAGACCTTTGTAATTAGGAAAGGAGCAAAGGGGCCAGACATTACAGGCGTGTTCCCTCAAAACAACGGGAGAAGGGGACTGGACAAAGGGAAGACAGGCACATGCCCAGTGAAGTTGGGACAACTAGGGAAGGTACTTACTGTCAGTCATACCTGGCAACAGAGGTCATTGGCCAGAATGGGCATGGCCACTGCAAGGGAGTGGACATTTGAGATCTATAATCTCCTGAACAAAGATGTTGGCTCTCTTGGCACACCTGGCTCATGGCTCACACTTGGCTTCCTAGCATTCTCCCTGTGGCCCACTGCCATGT